GAAGTGCAGCCCGAGGCTGAAGGGGCGGGCAGAGGCGGAGCGGTCCCTGCACAACCCGCCCCAAAGGGGAGGAGCGGGGCGGGCAGGGGCGGCACGGGGTCGGGAAAGGCGGGGTCGGAGGTGGGCAAACGTGAGAGGGTGGCTGGAGCGTGCCTCGGGGAAGGAGCGCAATCGTTAGCTGGCTTTGTTTCAAGTGAACCGGGAAGGGCATGGGTCATCAGAGGAACTGGGGGATAGGAGAGGTGGAGGGAGAGGGGTAGGACCGAGGATCTAAGATAGCTTGGTCACCGCCATCTTTAGATCCACGTGTAGAAAGCAAAAGGGAGTACGAAGTAGCGAAGTAACACGGCGAGCCGATGTTTCCTTCGGGCGCCGAGACCTTTTCACTCGAGGCTCCGTATTCACTCGAGGGCAGTCTGAAGGGCGAGAAGGACGAGAACACGAAACGACTGGAGTTGCGAATTGCACGAGCTCCAGCGTACATGACGTTTTTTCGCTCTCGCGTTCTTATCCCAGGGCTGGGAGGGTTAGAAGCAGACCCAGATTGGTAGGAGGTTTCGCTCGGCGGGGTGCCCCCGGGTCTCTCGGGAGGGATGGTTTTAGACTGGGATCCGTGCTGCCTTTCCTTGGTTTTAGGGTCTCTAGGATCACGGAGAAAACAGGCAACATGCGAGGGGTGTGAGGGTCCCCCCATGTCGCTAGGTCACATAATCCGAGTCTCACTGTATCCCAGAAAACCGCGGAAAATATTTCAGTCTGAGAGATCTCCTGAGGTGCCGCTTGGGTTTAAAACGGCTGGAAAGTTTCGCAAGACCCATTTTAGCAGAGCTTTGAGCTCGCGTTTGTTAACCTCCTTCCCATGGACTGCTAAAAGTTCTTTAACTCGTCCATAAGCGTCTCATTCTCATCAGGAAAGTCTTATTTCCATCCTGCGAAGCAGCAAAATGGATGGGCTGGGGTTTACCCCGCCGTTCGGATAGGGGCGGAAAGCCCTCTTTTTTTCTGCTCACCAGCATTCCCTGCAGGAGTCCTCCGAGCCAGCTGGGGACGTCCTCTGATGGCTGCTCGCATGTGTTTCAGGCCTGATACTTTATTGCAGAGCAGAGTCCTAACGGTTTGCCAACACCCAGAACAGCCGAATTCCCCAAGAGATCTTATCAATATGAGAAGTCCCTGTTCGGGCGCCACTTATCCCAGTTCGTTCTCTGCGATCCGGAAACCGGTCCTGCCGGGCAGCGTGGCAAATATTCCGAGACGAGTACGATGGAATGCCCAAGATAAATTGTTTCCAGAGAAACCGCATGGTCCGAGGGCCAACTTCCTAAGACCCAGGGGTGTGGTGGGTTTAACAATACATGGGGTTACTGGTATCCAGTCGCTTCCCAGGACAGGGGTCTTTGACCTTGTGAGTCTAAGGTGGGATGACCTTATCCATCACTCTGCCGCTCAAGGCTTCAGGTTTATTCCCTCTGTGTTAGGAACTTTGTTCAGGGTATGATCTTTCCCATCTAATTAGGTTCCCACACGTTTTAGTTTGCTTTTGTATGGTACGTTTTTTGTTGGCATAAACTTTTCTTGGCATCTTTCTTCTGAAAGTAAGGAAAGTGTTTGCCAGTAAATGCTCAGAATGAGCTGCACGTAGGTTAAAACTGATCCAGACTGACTCGTTAAAAAATCAGCCTGGGTGGAGGTGTAGTGTTTGTTTGCAGAGCTCCTGAAGAAGTCACTGCCACCACCTGTGCACTTTCCCTCTTCACAACAATACAGTTCTTGTGCTACTGCAAGCGTTCAGAGCTGAGATCCAGGTTTTAAAAATAATAAGGAAAAAAAAGCCCCAGGGCGAGACTTGTCCCATTACATAAGAAGCAGACATGTTCTGGGATGAAGGTAAAGGCTTTGTGAAATAATTTCCATAAACTGTGTAGGGGGGTGAGACAGGGGTGTTTTGAAGATGGGGCAGAGGGGCCCCATGGTTTAATGACCCTGATTAAGTGCCACAGAAATGAACTCATTGGGATAGATTGTGTTTGCTTTGACTCAAAAGGCAGAAAGTAAAGTAGGGCAGGAAAATATAGAGAACAGTGATCCCTTCTTCATGTTCAATCCCTGGGGGAGCACCGTAAGTAATAGGCCGATTTATATCTGGTAGGAAATGTTTAAGCTTGTTGTTTAAAACAATTAAAAATCCTAGAAACAACTCCCAGGGCTGGAACAACATGTGGACTGAAGACATTATTTCAATTGACCTGTTAGAAGTAGTCCAGAATTGTTTTCAATTGAAGTGTCTTTTCTGTGTTTCAAAAAAATAAAACTTACATGATACCTTCTTCCTTTAGCATTTAAATTGACAGGAGGTCATGTTTTGGAGTGATGAGCATTCCTGCTCAGGGGCTGGATGCTCATAATGTAAGAGATAGCATAGAGATGGCTGGCAAACCTCTGTACTTTGAGACATGTGTGGTAAATGCAGAAATAAGCAGATGTAACAAACGTAGGGACCTCTGGAATCTCTGGTAGTGTTCATCTGGTAGTGTTCACTAACCAGGTGATTGGTGTTTCAAAATGGGAGAACAAGGGGAACACGCAACAGTTTGTGGTGTATTTTTGGTTTCATTTTTTGTTTGTTCTGGTGCTTTAGTTATCTTTTGCTTTAAAAGTGCAGGTGAAGTCTGTGAGGATCCGACACTGTGGCCAGAGCTCTGTTCATCTAAATTAATTAGCACTAATTAATTAGCACTTTAGTCTAATGTCAAGGCTACATGCTTCCAACCAAAGACAATTTTGGATAAATTACCTGTGATAATCAGCTTCATTAGAATATTTTATCAATTTAGAATGGATTTCATTGTCTACCAAATGTGTCTCTCCCAATAAAGGTGTAGCAAGATTCAACCTATTACAGCACCCAGTAGCAAAGCAATAGTGCAAACATTACCCTATTTCTGTCAGAACTCATTCAAATTATGTGAAAAATGACAGGCTAAGTACAAATGTATATTTAATAAAGTCAGCCATGGTCCTCTATGGCTGATGTACTCCTATCATAAAGCAATCACTCATATACTTTGCAGCAGTACTGAGTTTTAACTGAAAATGTGTTTTATTAATCCAGTTAAATTCACACCGAATTTTACTCTGTGTATTGTCTGCAATTCCTTGTAACCAGTGACTGCAAGTTTTGCTGATTGCATTTTGTAGATGACCTTTGTACCATCTTATGCAAAAAACCAGCAGATTTATTATTTTTAAGCTTTGAGTGTGTAAATTTTAGCCTTCAAAAAGGAAATTGCTTTATTGTCATGTAAACAGAGCTTAGCCATTGGGTAGGCTCAGTATGAACAAAAAGAAACCCCACCACAAAAATAACCAAAACCAAACAAAGTCAAGGTACAAACAAACAAAAACTCCAACACACCAAAACCAAATACATAATGAGAATTTCTTTTTTTGCATGTAATTGCAGAACAACACTTATTTATTGTTAGAATACAACAGTTACTTGAAGCTAGTGTTCTGAGATGTGGTAGATATGGGGGTTTTTTGTTTGGTTTTGTTTTTTTTTTTTGGTTTTGCTACCGAAAATGAGTGACCACATTCTGAACTGGTGTTCTGTTTCTTTTATAGCCTGTTAGTGTGCTGGGAATTGCAGTTTGTGCTGGGGGAGCTGGCAGGCTCTGCAGGGTCTGCAGGTTTATGCTCTGAGTGTTGTCAAGGGCACTGTGATTGCATGGGGTGGTTAAACACCACCTCACCTGCTCCAGAGTAACTCCTTCCTCTCCCGGTTTAGACTCTTTCCCCCCCCCCCCTTTCAAGCCACTTAATGACATCTGCTTGTTACAGGCAGCATTCCTGTTGTGTCACGTGCAGGACCAGTCTCTCCCAGCCCCACACACAGGTCTGTACCAAGGCTATTCCCCAAAGTCTTTGTTGAACTGTCATTGACCCTACAGCTCTGAAGACTTTCAGTGGCAAAGATCTTGGGATCTTGGACAACTTGTTCAGTATTTATTAAGGAATTGGTTTAAAATCCCATGTTTCTTTTAAAATACCAAATCACCCATTTTGCTTCATGCTAACTTACACCCTGTTCTTCCTCTTTCCCTGAGGCCAGCTCTTTATGCCTTTGTCAAGGTAACTGTGCATGGAGTTGCAGGTTAATGATCTCATGGCATGTGCCATTCCTCCTCAGGCCACCTAAACCACTTTAATCTTCCTTCAGAGCTGAAGCTTTCTAGTCCCCTGTTGTGGTAGTTACACTCTGGCTTTCTCTAGACAGACTATGGCTTTTGAGGTGGGGGGCTTACATATAATCTTAGACTAGATATGCTGAAACTGGATTTTGTTTCTCTTTGAATTTGTTTCCTCAGTCTTACAAGGATGATTTAAAATTCTTAAACCTGCTTTCTGAAGAACTTTCAGCATTCCAGAACCATCAGCAGTTCATGAACCTCTCCCTCACATGTCAGTCCCATGGTGTATGTCCTTTCAGCCCAGCACAAGATAAACAGCATCTATAACATCTGTAAATATCGCATAATGATTTTGAAGTGATTTACTATCTCTTCATCTGCATCCTAGTTCCTTCTTTTTAATGGCAAGAATTAAACACTCTTGCTCATTGTGTTTCTCCTCCATAAGCTCAGTCAAAAAAAGAATTTAGAATTCATTAAAATGAAGGATAAAGTTCTTGCCCAACTGCAAGGTATTTGCAAACAACTCCTGTATTTGAAGGCAGTCTGGTGTAATCTTTCCCCTTCTCCAAAGGTGCTTGAAAAGCTGGTGATGTAGCAAATTGTCCTTTCAGTACATCCACCTCTAGTTCATTCCTTACAAGAAAAACCAGGCACACTGGAGGTTTGGTTTTTATTAACTGAAGTATCAACTCATTGCTGCTGCTTTTGAGCAGTCTTCATAAGGTAGGCTCAATTTCAAACAGAATGTGAGGCACAGAACAGGATTGAGAGAGCTTGTGCAATATAAAGATCTTCCAAAACACAAACTTGTTGAACCATTTAAGCTGCATTCCACTTTTGAAATGTTAACATTGTATGTGTGTACATATATTTTGAAAATAGTAATCCTCAGTCAATCAAGACACAGAAGATAAAATACATTTCATATAAATACATTCATGGATTAAAAAAAATAGTCTTATAACCTGCTGACAGACTTGAGTGTAAGTATCTTTCTTACATCTATTTCACTTTTGTGATGCTAATAGGCAGACTAAAGGCTATTTAATAGAGACCAGTTTTAAAACATGGAAAAACTGGTAACATGGCTCCAGGACCAAGTAATTTTAAAAGTTGCTACTGATACAGGAAGTATTTCCTGTTGTCAAAAAAACAACTGTATCTTAAAAAAAAAAAAATTAGAAAAGCTATTTCCTTGTTTCTTTAAGTGACTCTTGTAGTTCCATGCATGACTGGATACTGTTGCCTTTATATGACAGATTTTCTTTCTCTCTTTCCCCTCAGGGTTCTTGGAAGGTGAGCTGGCATTGTTCTGGACTAGCCAGAGAAAATTATACATGGTGAAGTTGGTTCTCAGGAGAAGGGATGGTTTACTTGAAGAGTGTAGAGCCATCATTTATTTTTACTAAAGTCTATTTTGGAAAATACAAATGCATATACATGCAGAAAAGGAAAAACTTGTCCTGAAATTGCTAGCTCATGTAGAAGAGAAAGAGAAGCAATGTACACAATCTTTTACTTTCTGTACAGTGATAATACCAAATAATGTTTTTTAATCATTATATACATGACACAAATATTATTAATTGAAATCTATAAATACTTTCAAATGAATTTGCAATATAGAGCAATTGAGGGCTACAGCTGTACAAAATGTAAGCAACATATATAAAACAATTAAGAAAGTGCAAAGTAGAACAGTATCAAGAGGCTCTACTTTTTACAGCACTTATGGTTCAAGTGTGAAGAGCTGACAGGGTTGCAGGAGCTCAGCTACAATTCAAAAGAAGACACAGTACAGGATTCGGCACACAAAATGATGAACTATTATTAAATTATATCTTCCTCCTTCTTCACAGTTATGACTTCCAGTTAATAAGAGAACATTTTTATAATGAACTTCTGTGAAGAGTGATTTGTCCTTATTTACAAGTTTCCAGGAAACAAAGATTCCCTGGCGACAGACTACTTTTCTGTAAGTAAAACAAGACTAGACATGGAAACTCTTGTTGGTTTCTGGTTGCCTTGTCATGCTTACCATAGTTGAAAGGTGAACAGAAATACCTTCCATAAAGGAATGCAGATACTTAAAACCTGATCCTCAAAGTTATGTCCAAGTAACCTGTACCAATACTCATGTGTATGTGAAGGTCTAGAGAATCAGTGCCTTAAAAACATCAGCTACCTCTCAAAAAAACCCACCAAAACTCTTTGAGTTTCAAGTCTGTTTAGAGATCACTGCCCATCAGTTTCACAGCTGTTTGCCAAATTCAAGTTCTGCATTCAGGCACTGATTTCTCACCAGCAACCCAGAGCAGTGCAAGTCTTTGTTCTCTTTTATACTCTGTGTCCAGTGGAAAGCTCTTCTTGAATTAAAATGCAATGACAATTAAAAACCTATTTGGTGAGCTGGAAGTTGAAATAATTCAATCCTCTTGAGTGAAATTTCTTATAACTTGTTTTTAGAAAGCTTTTCAGTTCACCTTTATTTCAGTAAGTGTACTTTCTATTCTTTTGTAGGCACTGTAAATATTCAAGATACTGATATGGAGAAGAATTCATTCTCAAGCACTACATTATTAGTGATCTCTAGCAAGTTCTTGGCTACTGCTGTTGTCTTGGCTTTGTTTTTAAATGGAGAAAGGTAGACATTAGATACTCCCTTTCCCTCATTGCTAGAGGGAAGTATCTTATTAAAAGTGTTTTATTATGACAGAAGAATCATCGCAATTACATTATTTTTTTCTCTGTGAAATACAGGCCAGACTTCAGCACAAGTCAAAGAGAAGTTGTAAGCAGTCTGAATATGCTAGAGAAACAATAAAATTACCTGGTCACACTGCTTCACATAATGATGTTTGTCTCAAAACTGGAGATGATCCCATGAAACTCTATGAAGACCATCAGTGTCTAATCTGCTAATAATTAAGAATTTGGAGTCTAAGATATTCTCTGTTTCACTTGATAGAGATTATAGAAACAGTCATCCATCTGGTGTATTTTTTGAATGTGTGTTATCTACAGTATACACAAGACATCCAAAACTGAGGCATGAGAAGGAACCAGCTGCGACAGCTGCCTGGTCAGCAGAGCTGTTTATTTGCCTCCATACATTCTTTCAATGTCATTGAGGTAATGGTTTTTCAGTTCTTTCCTTTTCAGCTTGAAAGCATCTGTTACCAACCCAGTCTCAGGGGTCCATGGTTCAGGGCTTAACCGGACCTTGATGGGTATTTCAAATCTTTCTAATTTCACTGCAAGAACAAGAACAAAGAAAAGCATGACTTTGATTACAAATCCAAATGAAATACTAATTCATGCTCCCTAAAAATCTGGTCCGCAGATTAAGTGATTAAGTGGTGTCCTACTTAATGAAATAACCTTACAGAAGGGCCACAGGAAAATTTCATCCTGTCCCATCACTGAGTACTGGTTAGTACGCAAGTACTCTAATAACACTCTGTTTTTAGAGCTTATATTGGATGTGACAATGAAAAATCTAAAGCTTAAAACAAATGATTGAGTAGCCTGAAGCTCTGAGACTACTGCCACAAGAGCATACACTGAAATCTACAGTATTATCTTTGTTACAGGAATGGAGTAACTAGATTAACTCAGACTAGCTGGACATGCTTCATATTTAAATTATAATGAAGTACTTGTACACTTTCCCTAGTTGAATATTTCTTTCCTATATTTTTCATTCCTAAAAGTCTGTTTAGAGTTCAAAACAAAGGGACTTCTTTCTAGTTTTATTACATTAGCCACTTATTTTCCCTTCAGCTGTAAGCAGTGGCTTGGCACACGTACAGCCTCATCGCAACCAAGGCTGCTTCTCTCTCTTGCACAGGTAATAGCCCAAGAGGGAGAAGCAAGGGAGGAGAAATGGAACTGCTTGAGGGGGAAGGGCAGAAGCAGAAAGAACAGCACAGGGAGCTGCTGCATGTGCCCAGTACCGCCTGGAGTTTGCTACCAGCTCCTGGGTAGGCTGGGAATGGGATCCAGAAACATGGACTTGTAGTTAAATTCCAACACAGCCTCTGGGGGGCAGCAGAAGTGGAACCCAGAAGCTCCTCTGCCTTTCTAACTTCAGCTGCTATCAAGACGTGCTGCTGCCTCTCACTTAGGTGTGTGCCTGCTCATGATGAAGGTGCATCATGCTCTGCTAAGAACGAGAACCACCTCTTTAAAATAGTTTTGAAAAAAGTTTCACATAAATTAGTTGTATCTCAATAGTAGATTACTATCTAGAAGGCAGAAAGAATGTATAAGCAAAGGGTTTAAGTACACAAAGCTATATGGATAGTAATCTGCCCAATTCACCATAAAAACCTCCAGGGATTCAAGTGTTTAAACCCAAGCCTTAAACATATGGATTGATTTATTTTTTTCAAGGTAAGACTTAATAGTGCCTTTCATTCCTGTTTTCTTATTTTCAAAAGGCAGATTCTCCTCTGTGCTCAAGACAAAGTGCTTAGCATGTACTTAAGTGCAGCTTTTACTGCTTCCTTGTATGAGGTGCCAAGTGCTTTAAAGACTTTCTTCCCCACTGAGTTTATTCATTTTTTTGTCCTGTAAAGGACTGATGACACTTCTGATCATTCAGTACCACAGCAAGGAGTAGCAGGCTTTTAAGCCTCTACAGCCACAAGGATCATGGCTGTTAAAAGCTATAGGGAACAAAGCTGTATGGGGGAAAAATACTTTGAAATCTCTTGTTGAACCAGTTTCCTTACCAACAAATGCCTTGCAACTTTTCTTCCAATTAACAGGTCTTTTGGACCTTATTTTAATCATATTAGACAAGCAACTTGTCTCCCGAATTTGGCTGAAAAAACCTTCAGATATTTCATAAAAACTACAAGTAGTATAGTAATCTATTCAACCAGTACTATGTAAATACCAGGGATAATATGCAACAATTTCATATGATCTTTGCCTCAATAAATAAGTTTTGGCAGATACAGAGAAATTGGAAGAAGGAGGAGCAGTCAGTGAGAATAATGACAGTTTTTGCTGGATAAGCCCCCATGGCCAGCAGGATATGCTGTGGTACTTACTCTTGTTTGCCACTTCTTTAATCTCTCGCAGTATTTCTGCTTCCATTGTAGGATTGTTACAAATGTCCACCCAGCTTCCACTGATGCCTTTCTGCTCAGCCAGTGCTGTCAGCTTCTTCTGGTTAGGGACCACAAAACTGATCACATAGGACTGGTCACTACACAGAGTGGCAAGAGAAGGAAAAAAGGTCCAGTGAAGACTTTAATTTCAGGGTGTAAATTACCTGCTGTTGGACCCACAAATACCCAGGGCTTTCTGAACTGAAGTTATTCCACCATACAGAATCCTTCTTGTGCATTAAGTCTTCACATGGGATGGCTTATCAAGAATATATTTTAAGGTAGCTTACAACATCAGATGTGATCAGAATAAGGATTTGCTGTCATTTCACTCATGCACATCTCAGTTTAGCTCCTCAGCTAGACCTGGGGTTTAACCACTTCTCTGCAGCTCCCCCTCATGTAGGGAGAGAGGGGGAGATATCTGGACTATTTCCAAAACCCACTGGAAAGCTTTGGATCAGGTGCAAAGTGTCCAGATTAACTTTTTACTGGTATTCTGACAGCTAAAACACATGCTAAATATAATGATACATAATGATATATACTTGCTTAGGGAAGGGATGGGGTGGAACAGCAGCATATCTGGATAGGAAAAATGCCAACAGAAAAATAGGTAATTTCTTCAGCTTTTAGGGAATCTAGGAACCTGTGCTTCTTCAGACATGCTGTTTGTAACTGGTACGCTGATGGAGGGGGTTATTAGAAGGAAACTTAGAAAACTATAGTTGGATCAGAGAAGTGAATCAGGGACTGTACTTCATGTTTACTCTAAACAGAATTTCTAAATTAATACTGCTCTTACCTTTTGGCATAAGCACAGATATTGTCAATCAATGGGCAGTTCTTCAGTGCTGCCTCTACTTTGCCCAGAGATACATATTCTCCTGCTTGTAGCTTTACCAAGTCCTTCTTACGATCTACGAGTCAGGGGAAGGGAAAAAAAACAACCTTGTTTAATTTAAATGTAAGCATTTCCACAGATTCATTTCCATACTTACCGTGTTATGTCTTTTGTGCTATGATCTTAATCAGATCTTAATAGACAAATTTTAAAGGAGCTAATAGCTGCAAAACTTACTAAGATTTCTGTAAAAAAGTGTTATAGCACTACACTTTTTGTCACATAGCTTGTAGGAAAGGACTCTTACTTTAAAAGCTTTGTAATTAATACAAAAGTTCTTCTTAAAAGTCCCAGTGCTAAATTTAGATAATGATAATATCACAGGAAATGGCATCACTTCCAAAATTTTACTGCAGCTATAGGAACTTTTGGAAATGTGTTTTACACTAATTCTGTAAGTAGGTAACCTTAAGTAGATTAGCCCAGGCAAAGCCAACAGTATTAATAACATGTTTATAATTATGGTTAGTCCATATCTTGTAATATATTAAGGTATCAAAAACTGAAGCTCACCTATGATCTGGAGACACCCATCTGGATGAAATTCCCCAATATCTCCTGTACAGAACCATCTCTGGCCATTCTCATCAACAGAAAACTCTTCTGTTGTCTTCTCTTCATTTTTAAAATATCCCATGGAGACGTTGGGTCCACCAATTATAATTTCTCCTCTAGGATTAGGCTTGTCTTTATTGGTATAGCCCCCTGAAAACAACACAGTCCCAAGCAATTATCTTTAATTTATATACCCTTCTGCTAAGAAAATACCTTGAAACCTCAGCTTGAAGTTAAAGCATGCTAACTGATGACTTTGATAAAAGATAAGCAATTACTTCATATGCCTCACATAGGTAAGCAGACAGGCAAAGATACCAGCAAGGCTAAATTACTCTGAAATCAAAACTATTACTACTCTCACCTTCTTGCCAGTCTCTCAGTTTTATTTCACAACAAATAAGAGGAGCTCCAACTCTGCCAGTGCTGTAATCAGCAACTTAGGGAGAGAACAAGAAAGAAAAGCAAGATTTTTTTGTTATTTGAAATATGAATATGGTGCATCTTATCTCAAGTTACTTCAGTGCAGAACTACAGCTGTAGTATTGTAGATGTATTTTGACTTGTTTTAAAAGAATTAAAAATCACCAAATGCCCATACGTGTCTATTTCTTAACTTACGTATTTCCATAAATGTTTTAACTACCTTCTGTAATGGTTCCAGCTCCACACGTTTCTGTCAGTCCATAGCCTTGACCAACAGGACAGCAGAAACAGATGTTCATGAATCTTTGTGTTTGAGGTGAAAGTGGTGCTCCTCCAGAAAGCATCATACGGACATTCCCTCCTAGCAAGGCCTTTACTTTTTTAAACAGTAGTCTTGAAAGAAGACAACAAGCATTAAAAATTATTCACTTAGCTCACTCTTACAAGAAGACACAAACCTTCCTTACTTCCTATCTGGAATGCCTTAAAAATTAACTTTTTCCCAGATTTTAGTAGACAGCAGGGCTAATCCAAACCCATTACCTCTTGTGTAACACTTTAAGGAGGCAGAGTTCCCGTAGCTTAACAAACATTCCAGTTTTATCACTTAAAAATGCAATGCAATGAAAATGAACCAGGCAGCTGTTTGGAAGATTAGTCATTACTTTGAAATACCTGTTTCCAGTAAGAACTTGGACTACTTCAGTTACTCATTAGGTGTTATTTGCATGTTGGATGAGAACGGTCTGATAGCTCAGAGGATTATTCTTTTAGACTGTCCTAACAGATCCCAAGGCAGAAGGCACCCTTGGCCCATGAATGCTACTTACACGTTACAGAGAGGTGCATCATATCCTCTCTTGATCTGTTCCAATTTGTAGTCATAGCCTATCTTGAACAGAGTTCTCTGAATATAGTTCATCTCTTGTACTTTATTCATGACATTTTTATAAATTCTGTCCATTATTTCCTACAAAGTGTTAATAAAAGGAAAATTACCACGTGGCACAGACCAGCATGTGTGAATTCAATCTCATGTCATAAGTAATCTCCTCCCTCATTATTCTTCCTTTAAAATGGATAATAACAGTGAAAATCTTTGCATCATGTGGTTAGGCAGTGCTTAAGTGCAATGTTTTTAACATGTAGTAATGAGCCAATTCATAGACCATTGCAGCTTGGAACTATTCACACCTGAACCTGTACTTAAACTGTGACAAACTGATTTAGAAAATTTTAAATTCAAGTTTAACTCAATCTCTTTGTTAAAGGTTGGTATATTCCCCTCAAGATGTGTTGTGCTTGGGAATGCTGATACTGTACTTTATTCACAGCAATTGCTAAGTGCAAGGGAATGAACTAGGAGAATTCATTTCACCATTTCCTTTTCCAAGAGAGTTCTTAAACTTTCAAAGCAACATGGTTGCAGTAATTCTAATTATCTGACAAAACCCCACCATAATTCTGTCACAGACCAGAGATTAATTTCCATTAAAATAATAAGCTTATGGTCACCCAAAGACACAGAACTTAAAACACTTCTCAGACTGGTGAATATTTAATAGAAGTTTAATGATTGTGCTTCAAAACAAACTTAAAGGAGCCAATGTTTTGAAGTATTTATGTGCTTTCTCTCCATGAAATAAATTTAAATGGATATTTTCCAAAAGGTTGGAGTTCTCAGATGTATTAGTTGTCACTATGTTAATTATTAAGAAGACAACCAAGCCTCTATATGTGCTTATGATTTTATAAAATAAAAGAATGCAAGTGACTAAATAGATTTTAAAACTCCTGGCTATTCTAAAATGTTGCAGAACAAGCAGATCCAACCAAATTAGACTAAATCTTCCTACTCTCTCCCTACCACCACGTGGCACCATCTAGTGCTACCAGTTTTATGATGTGACAGGATCCTAAAAGCAGGATGATGCTGTGATGGCATCACATGTGAGGAGAGCCTTGGTACCAGGATGACAAACATTTGTGGAGTTTTTGGATAGCACCACAGCCGTGTGGAGTTCAGGAGCCTGATCACTCCCAGAGCAGTGTAAGCTGCATAAGCAATGGGAGTTAGTCTCATGATCACTCTTTCCTCTGAGAGAATGCTAGGCCTGGCCTGCTAACCTTGAGATCAGCAAGAGAGACTCAACCTCAGTGTTACCTTTACTTGCTAAGTCTGTGACTGAGACAAATGTCCATATCCTTAAAGTGTTCTTACCAGAACCACTCTGTTTGTCCCTGTGCAAAAAGGAGTTCCAGACTGTGACTGTGTCCTATTGTTGTGTCAGTAGACCAGTAAAACACCATTTGTAACTACTGAAACATTTACAGGTTTGGATCAAAAAGGATCTGGCTTTACTACAGGCAGACTCTTGTGCTCATCTGCAGCATCAGTACTCAGTTCAATCCACCAAAAGGTGGAATGTCTGTGTTTGCTCTTTTCCTAAGACAGTTACTTACATGTGAAGAGATAAACATGTTAGTAAATACATTCTTCTAGCATAAAAAAGACAGAAAACACTTTTTTGCTGGACATATCTGCTTCTGCATACTTACGGGCACAGCTGCCATCAGTGTAGGCTTAAGTACAGTACAGTCTCCTTTGCTTCCCTTCTTAATTTTACTTGACTGTAATAAGAAAAACAATGTCAATTTATGAAGCTGAAAACCAAACAGTGCTTCAAAATTAAAGGACTAGCAAAAGGAGAAGATACATTAACATGTAATTTGTTCAAATATCTTCCCCTGTTCCTGTGTCATTTTCCCCCCATTGTTATGGAAAGGGTAATGATTAATATCTATTTCAACCAAAATACTCAATCTTTTACAAGTTCACTTTGTTTATCTTCCTCTTACTTCCTCCCTCTGCTTGTTTTTGTTGGAGTCTGAGATACAGAGTGTGTGCCCTTGTTTCTGATACTTAGTTCTAAGATCCAGAAAAACACTGAATTTCATATAATATGAAATTCATGAGCATGTTTTCATGGTGATACATGAAAACAACTGTTAAAGTTAGAAAAAGCTAAAAGTGTGCGTAGATTAGAAAATTTTCTTAAGTCACTGGGTGAAAAAGTTAGTTTAGAGAACAGGAGACAAGATGGAGGATTTAGGGTGTTGTCTCTTCTCCCTTCTTCTTTCTTCTTCATGTTCTTCTCCTAGAGGTTTTTGGGTAATAGTAAGTGATTGGACAGAAAATGCTGCAGTGTAGCACAGAGGTGATGGGTCATTGGGTCATTAAGAAAAATAATATACATGTCTATTGTTAATTGAGTAAAAATAGGTATAAAGATAAAATAACTGTGTAGTTTGGGGCCATTTTGTGCATCAGACACGAAGTGAGCCACAAGGCCTTGTTGTACCATCAGAAGAAAGAAATATAGCAGATTACAAAGAATTAACCTTGTGCAGCTAGTCTGGAGAGACCTGCCAAGTTTTGTGATGACCTTCTAATAAACACGAGAAACAAGATTCTAACGAGCTCGGGAGTTTTCATCAAAACTAGAGAACTGAGATAAGCAGGGCTCCCCATGAGGGAGGATCGCAAAAAGAATTCAGTCCAAAGGAGGCTGAGAAAGCCAGGAAGAGAAAGAAAAATAAAGAAGAAATGCAGCAGAATCAGAGAAACAGAAAAAGGATTTTTTAGAGAAAAGTTACAGCTTTCTCCTCCCTCTGGGAGCTTGTTTTGCTTGATGCAAATCTCTCTACAAGCAAAACATACAGAGGTATCTATTCTGGCTGAATTTATTCTTATTTATCTGAATTGTTAAAGGGAAAAAGGCAAAGGTCTAAATAGATCTGCACCGAAGATTAAGATCACTTTAAACACTTCATCTGATCTATTAAGAGCTGTTCTTACCCTGTTATCCAGTGGATAATGCTATAGGCATTCATTAGGATTGCTTTAGATTTGCTAAGTAACGTAAAAGCAAAGGTTTTAATAAAATTTGTATGGTACAACCCATCACTGTTCTTCACCAGGAAGGTTAATTTGCATAATTTTCTGAAAAAATTTACATTTCTAAAGTGCGCCATCTACATCAGCATTTCTTTACTGAAGGAGGAAGCTAAGCAAGGAGAGAACAGGCTGCAAAAGCTAAAGTTTGTTCCCCACCTTGCTCTGCTAGCCCTCACCTGATCTGAGAGAGTGAGAGGAGAGGAGTAACCAATCCTGCAGCCGTAAGTGATGCAGGAAACTTCTGCTGTCAGTTCTAACACGTGGGCCAGAGGCAAATAACCAATGTAAGTGTCCTTGGGTCTGGGAAAGAAAAAATAATTAATCATGAGTCACAAGTGGCCTGAAAATACCATTTTAACATTTTATTGTGTGCTTAATTATTACTTTTTGATTGACCTGGATCACAGGTGAGCTTATTCTCCTGCACAGAAGACAGGTGTTATTTCAGCCACAGTATATAAACAAGTTGGGGAAATCTGCCCTTACTGAAATCGATATAAATGACAGGATTTGCCTTGTTTTCTAGGAAACTCTGATTCCTTAGTCCTTTACTGCTATTTCCTCTCCTCGTGGGAGGTTTCATTCCAGTTATAAAATTAAGGATGAAATAACTATACTTTAAAAAAATGTCCAATGATTTACAAAGCCCTGTCAAGCATCTTCTTCATGGCTACATTACTAGAAAGAGAGCTGATTACTGAAGTAACAGGCTGGTTTCAGAACGTAATTGCTCAGAGATTTCTCAGCAAGAACCTTAGAGCTTAACAGCATCTTTCAGCACCTAGCCAGAACTGGGTTTATATCCTCTCACAACAGCAGTCTGGCAACAGGGCTTATTTCAGCTAATGAACCCTTTGTGAATCCAGAGACAAATACACACACTTCCATAAAAAACTTCCTCAAAACATTAATCTGAGTGAATTTTCACTTGGTTTTACTGTTGTCAATACATAATTTATTATTTTTCTGCTCCGTCAGTGAACTGTTACTTGAGCAGATTCTGCAGCAAGAGTGGTGTCTCCAGGTGGGTGAAGTGCTAGGCTCTGACATGCTTCCCAAATTGATTCCAGGTTCCTGAAAATGTCTAAAAACATTTCCCAAGTTGCACTAGAGAAGGACTCTCTTATATAGTGGTATCCTCTGATACTCAAAAGTGCAAAAATCCATCACAGACTTAGAGCTAAGGGTAATAATAATAATAGGAAAAGCAACAGAATGTGAGAGAACAGCTATAATAGCTATTTTTCAAAAAAGGGTAGTTCACACACACAAGACATATTTCTTATAAATTAAAGAGCAGTGGCCTTACAATAACCTGAAGAAACTTGATAACAAAATGCCAGCTGCAGACTCTATAAATGTGACACTTTTGGAGGTTGTTTTAGCTGTCTGTACAACAAAGATAACAGTGTTTCTTACCCCAGTCCAGGTATTCTCTCACACTGTCCTGTCATTCCAGCTATTAAGTTTTTATGCATCATCATCACTCCTTTAGGTCTCCCAGTAGAGCCACTGGTATACATTACTAAAGCCAAGTCTGTAGGAACAGGTCTGCTGGGCAGAATGTTTGCTATGAAAGGAGGAAAACTGTTATTTATTCTTATCTACTTTCTAGATATTATTTCTGTAATTAATCAATGTGAAAATGTTTGTAATCAGTGTGAAACAGGTGCTTCACTGAAGGCCAGTGTGGCAGTGTGCCTCAGGGAGACAAAGAGTTAACATTGTCCCACCCTAAACCCCTTGTGAAGGGCGGCCCAGGTGCTCTGATTGGGTTTGAGTCCCTGGGGGGTTCTCCCTTGGTGTGCTTCTACTGGTCCCTGACCCTGAACTCCACCCTCAAAGGTGGAAACCCTTAAGAGTTCTGTCCCTCAAAACCCCCTGCTGTGCCTCTGTTCGGAGCTCTCTGTTCTGGACCTGAGTTTGTTCCCATGCTGAATAAATGGTTTCATGAACCGGGAGCCCATCTCGGTTGGAGTTTCATGCTGGTCCCCAGAACCCTGCTACTTCTCTGGACGAGATCCTGGAGTTGCGGACTGCAACAGCCAGAACAGCAAGTTTTTGTACAGTCAGTGCCGGAGAGAGTAGGTATCTAGTTTTAAGAGGAAGAGAGGGAAGGCCAATTTTGAAAGGAACAATGAGTATCTGAGCATCTACACAATCTGGGTGACACATTTGTCATTTTGGTTTATAGCTGACTGAGTTTCATGGAAGGAGTCTTTTGAAGATCAAATAAAACTATCAAAGTCAGCAAAGGGGAGAAATACAGTACTGATGATAAGCAGCAAGCTGAGTAAAAAAAAAACAAAACTAAAAAACCAACGCCCAAAAAGCTTCAAGTCAGCTTTTCTATCCATCAGTCTTTCAAAGCCAAGGTTGTAGAGGTAAGACCCCTTTTAACTCCCTCCACATTTTTTTTTAATTATTATTTTAAAATAAACCTTCCTCAGGTAAGCTGCCAGTTTAGCAGTAAACTTAGAACACTTGACTTCTGATTTTTATTTTAGTCCTCTTAATTCTTAGGATGATAATCATCAGCTTTCATGGCTTTCACAGTGTCTGCAAGGAAGCAGCTTTTTTTAGAAACTAAGCCCAAGGAAAAAACTCCATTAGGGTCATTGCTGGTCAGGCTGATCAGAGATAACCAGCTGTGATGAATGTGTGTTTCCCAAAGCTCCTTTGCCAGTTTATATCCTCCTTTATTCCAGGGAGAAATGTGGTTAATTACAGACTGCTGATGTAATGAGAACAGATCATTAGGGCTGGGTTTTCCTTCCTTAAAGCAGATGCTTACAGTCACTGCTGGCTGCCTAATGGAGCAAATATAACTGGTATTCCTCTAGCCTTAAGTGCTTTTCAGCTACAGCTTGGTTAAGATAATGGTCATTTCCAAGCAAAAGAAACAAAAAAGCTTTAAATACTTTCTCCTCTTTTCTTAGAAAAAATAGTGACAATAAGATAAATAAAAGGTAAGAGTAGCAGAAAATGAAACATTAAACCAGTTTCTATTTAATTTCCTAAAACAAAGATGAAGTATTAAATTATTCTGGTTATAGTTTAGAAGTTAAAAACAAAGTTTTATCCTGATATACAGGAACAAAAGATATAAAACAAAGATTTTGTTTATTTAAACAGAGCTGGAGGATGAACTAGCAACCTGCCACTGCCTTTGTTGGTGACAAAGGCCACCCTTTGCTGGGGAGGGGGAGTTTCTGCTACACATCCCTCTTAAATCAGGTCTGATTTCACTGCTAACACTGCTTGATTAGTCAGTCCTCTGGGAAGTGATTCACTTACAGTTTTCTGGTTTGGCTCCCAGCTCTTTTACTGCCTGCATACTATGAATCTCCATGTTTTCAGGGTATTCTGATTTATTGACTGTCTTCTTGTCCACATAAATGATATGTTTCAGACAGGAGATTTGTGGCAGTGCTGTCTACAGAAGAGAAATGAAATTTTTAGTAGTGTAGTGACTGAACTGTAACATTGCTTATAGCAGGTGAAGATGATACCAAATTACCTTAAGTTTGCTCTCAAGGAGTTCCACACTTGTGACCAGATATGATGCTCCACACTCGTTGAGACCATAGGTCACTGCCTCTTCACCCAGGGTGGCATAGAGAGTGACAACTGTCACAGGAATGGGAGAGGACACGGAAGAAGGGTTAAAATAATACTAAATGCAAAACGCTCTTGCACTAGCTTACTGGAAAGCGTTCAATTGGAAATTTTCTAATTTGGAAATAAAACAGCTTTTAATTTTTCCACATCAGAAATGTTATGGCACAAGAGACCTCTGGAACAAGGAGGACAGCTGGACAGGAAGCATGTCTTTACTAAGAGCATGGTCAAATACTGGAACAGGGTTCCTAGAGAAATGGTTGATGGCCCTAGACTGACACTGTTTAGAAGGCCTTTGAACAATGCTTTAGGCTGTAACTTTTAGTCAGCCCTGAAGTGGTCAGGCAGTTAGAAGGAACCTATAATGGTCATCTACATCCTCCTGAAATAATTCTGCTTTTTCTTGCAAAAAAGAAATTATCAGAACAAACAGATGCATCAGAACCCAAAAATAATGTACAAAGCAATCCCAGAGTAAGCAACTAAGAGCAGGTGTTCTGCCCCTGAGCTCTCTGCAACGAGAACTCAGGGGGAGAGGTGACACTCAGACATTACAGGCCACCAGCTTAAAGCTGGGCATGGCTACAGGCAGCTCTTTGCACAGTGTCAGCTACTTTCCTTGCTCCCATGGAATTAGTGATGGCAGCAAGACAGAGAATCAGACTAAGGAATCAGACTGTTTTTCATGCTGCCAGATTATTTTTAACCCAGACGGGGTACAGGAATGTCATTAAGTGCCTCCCAGGCACAATGGAGTTCACCTCTCCCCTTTATCTCTCTACTGAAAAAAACCTTCTTTAGTATAATTTGATATCTCAAAAGTGTAATCTCCAAAGACCATTAAAGGAATTTAACAGTGCTGTGAGATAGGGTTCATGCAGAAGAAGAAAAAGAGTAATACTATACAGCTATTTCTTATTGCCTTTCAAAGTATAGGGATCCAGACCAAATTAACCATAGTCTCTTCCTTCAGTAGCAAGGTCATCTCTTCTACTACTGCCTCTGAATTGCCTCTCTGCACACTCCGCTATATGAGCTGCTTGTCACACAGGCAGCTACTACTGCTGCTGGGAGAAAAAGAGACAGCCCAGTGTAAGCAAAAAAATGGGCTGTGGATCACAGTGTGTTGTATACAAAATGGGAACTAGAGCACTCAGTAATCACTGCAGCTCACCAAGGAGTATGCATGCATTAACTCCCACTAAAGTTTTCAGACAGCTTGATTTAAAAAAAAAAAAAAAAAAAAGAAAAAAAAAAAAAGGAAAACCCATAGATAATTGTACTGAATTTGAGGAGCTTACAAATGTCACCAAAATAGACTACCAACAGACTATCATATGATATTGTTTACCATTCTTCTCTTCTGATAATCATTTCATATTTTAGATGTATAATTTAGGATACAGTCAGAAAATACTAAAAAAACATCCCACATTTTGTGGAGAGAAATGCAACTACTGGTATCTTCAGAACATTTGAAACAACCTGAATATTAAGTGTACTATTCTGTCATTTTAGCATCTAGAACATTACTACAATAAAATAAAAAATAATACAGTTTCATAAGTATGAGCAAGTTCATTTTAGCCATCTCCACAATGCATAGAATAGACTGAAAACCTTTAAGAATCAAACCATCAGCAGAGAAAGTTTATTAAATTCTTGCATCTCCAATGATAAATCTGTCAGAGTTGAAATACCAAACAGTCAGATCTGTGCTGAGAAATGGTTCTAAAATACATTAGAAGTAACCAAGTTGAGCACTCACGAGGGAAGTTGTACTTGAAGCAGGTGAGAGCTACAATCATCCACTCAGCGCGGGTCTCACAAAATATGACAACGGTGCTTTTTGGGGTTAGTCCCAGGGCAGTCAGTCCATTCCCCAAGAAAGTAATTTTCTCGTTTACCTCTTCATAGGATAACCATCTGTAAGTTCCTAAAATTAACTTAAGAGGAAAAACCAATGAATTTTCATGACAAAAAACTTCTGGTATAGCTCTACCGGCTGATGTCAGTTGGTGCACAACACCATAAGTACACAGTCTGCCATTCATTAAGAAATTGCTTTCATTTTACTTGAAGTAGAATAAATAGTGCATCCTGTATATTCTGATATTCCTCAAGTACTGTAAAATGAATGGTTTATTAGACGATGACTGAGGAAGAGATCTGAAAGGACATAAATTGTTGAGGAGAGATACAAAGCATCTCAAAACCAAGTCAGAATTAAGTAAAAAATTATAAGTTTTACCTTTTTGAATACTTTTCCATTTGGCTGCATTTCATTTTCTTCACTCAGAATTTCCCTGGTTCCAAGACAGTCCTTCTTCCCAAACTTTGCTAAAGCATGGTCAAAGAGCTTGTCCAGTGTGTCTGCTCCAGGGATGTTTATGTTTGCTAGTGAATCCAAGTGAGTGACAGAGCGGTAGGGGCTCCCCGGCTTGTCTGAGATGGGTTTAGCTTTTAACCGCTTTGCCATAGCCTTTTTCTTCTCGGCATTGGTAAGAAAATACCAGGGAATAAATACCAGCATACTGTACAACCAGATTAACAAGTACACAGGCAGCAAGAGAATGGTACACATTTCTAGCCTAAATTTAATTCTGGGTATTTAAAAAAGAAACTCGTATGGAGTTCTGAAGCAGGCAAGAGTAAGGCAGCAGCGCAGAGTGGTGTAGGGAGAAGCAACAGTAGGTGAAGCTTAGGTAGTGCTGATTCAGAGCAGCTGCAAAATTTAAGTAACCTTTGAGAGCCAACAGTAGACACCTACAAGCAAAAACCAGTGCCAAGCAGACAGCAGGAAAAAGAAAGAAAAATAATTAAATTAGTAAGATTACAGTCAGTTAATTAGTTTTTGTCCTTCTAAGACCTCACTTCAAAAGCATCACTGCACAATAGAGTAGTGAACTGCTCTGGGGATGAAAGAGGATGAATCTTTTCCACAGTTTTTTCTTGCATCCACAAATATTTACTTTTCACAGACTTTTCCCCATTATTTCTGTTTGAATAGTTCAGGGCTGTTGTGATGAAGTCTGTCCTTCACAACATAATACTGTGTTTAAGCTACTTGAGTAATGACACAATTGTGTAATTATGGGAAAGGTCAACACTTGTTTTCCCACTAAATATTTGTGCTACCAAGAAAAGGTACAGCAGATTGTTTTACGGCTTTTCAGAATATTCTATCAATTTCTATTCAGATTAAAATGAATCTTGATATATTCAAAAATAGTATATATAGACTTCAAAGTCTACATGCTTTAATCTAAAAACTAAATAATATTCCAAAATTGCTTTATTAACTTTGCTCTAGCGACTGCATTTTTAATCTTCTATTTTTCAACTCTGAATATCAGACTCTTCGAAAGGGATTATGCAGTTTTGCTTTTCCAGTTTCAAAAACTACTTCAATACATGCATTTCAAATTCCAAGTATGGAAAACAGAATAAAATTTGACCAATTTTAACTCAATATAAAATAAAGTACAAATTGGCAAGATTTTGTCAGCATGTCAGAAATCTTTCCCCATTAAGGAAAACTGGGCCTAAGTAAGGCTAAATAAGGATGGTGAGTCAGAGAAAAACAAAACCATCACAGCAAAACCCAGTCATGGCCAGCCCACTGGCCTGGGACCAGTCTGCACTGGTATGTGAGAGATGGGTGGTTATCTTCACCTAGCTGCTGTGCAAACACAGTCTGCTAACTCATCACCCATGCTGCCACAGTGGGGAAAATAGAAGGCATAGGTGCAGTAGCCAAGGGCAGAACCTCAGACAGGCAGGGCAGCCAGTGACACTGACATCCACCATCAGAGGCCAGGCTGTCATGGACACCATCTGATAAACAGAATGGATGAGAATAGGGAAATTCTACGGGCTCCATCAAGAATTAAAATAACATAGGCACATCTCAAAATACACCTTTATTAATGTATTTGCCACCCTCAGGTGCTGAGGGAGGCTACAATTAGCATTTCAGGTTAAACAAGACAACTGTTTGTTTAGCAGTTTAGCAGACAGATGTCAGTTAACAGGCTGGGATGTTATTTAATGAGAATTTCAACATTAGCAGTTGTGTTGTAGTCAATATTAACAGCTTTAATGTAATGTAAGACCTCAGTGAGAGATCTGCAGATATTTAAAACAACATGATGACCACATTAATTTTGTAATTACAATTACAGAATAAAATTACTATTGACTGATAGCATAATAAACTAAGCTAAACTAACCTAAGCTCAGACTTGTATGGATAAAAGTATTCTGTATGGATGAAAGTATTCTGCCTATTTATTTTTATAAAAAATGAATGTTATATTATTTTCAAAGCATACATGTTTATTCTGCTCTGGTGAACCTTACCATCAATAGCAGAAAAGAGATCAGTTTAGTTCCCAAAACTCCAGTTCTCTAAAATGAAGTATTATTGGTTTATAACACAAATCTTGTATGATATTTTCATTCCAGTTAATTCAGCTCCAAAAACAGGAGTTGAGCTTGTATTTCAAAGACAAGCCAGCCACGGCTCTAAGACATAGTAAGGAAATGGTCAGGACACACCCATGGTTACACATAATGCTACAAGTTAAAATAAAGTCCAAGGGAACTCCAGCTGCTCCTCACCTTCCAACAATGAACAAATGACCAGGTACACTGACTTGGATAAAAAGCAGAGTTGTGAGAGTACTACAAACTATTTAATGCAATGAGACAGTACCACAGCTTTTCTTTGGGCTGCGTAGGAGCTTGTTCAGAAGTGGTCTTACTCTGAAACACTACTGGCTAATAATCAAGAACTGGCTAACTTAGGAAGGGAGGGGAGGAAGGTTGCATTTCTTTCATTTTGGATTTTCAATTTAATTTGAAATACTTTAAAAAGTGTTTATAAAAAGAGAAAACTTAGCTAATTTGTACATATTTGTAGTAATTTAAAAAAGAGAATCACATTTCTATCCTGACAAAAGTAAGTTGAAATTCTTCAAAGACATCAGTTGGGAAAACTTAGTGAGTCCCAAAAAGACAACCGTTGCTTTTTCCTTTGAACGTGCTCATGCAAAACCTCTCTCTCTCTCTCACACACACACATACACACACGTGTACTTACAAGGGATCTCACAGTGATGACTGAGGTTTTTTCACTGTTGATTAGATCTATAGTGAAACAGAAAAAAAGGGCATATTAGAATTTAGGATGTTTTTTACCTTGCAGAAAGGAGGAATCTTTAGAACTTCCACCTTACTGCTCCTAAGAAGCACAGGCTATGAATTTAGACAGAGGTGCAACACAGCTCATACAAGGGAGAACAATTACAGTACTGGAAAATATTAAGCTTCCAAACTACATTGGACAGACAAGAGATGAAGGTGCCAAAAAGGAGCTTAAATTTTATGCGACACTACTTCCTCCCTTTCATATTTAAACATGTTCTGAATAAAATTATGAACAGAAGCTTAAATGCAATTTAATTACCGATGAAACCCAGAAAGACAAAGAAGAGAGTTTGATATTCCATATGGTCCATTCTTCTGACTCAAGGCAGAACAGGAAGACCTTTGTCACTCTTGATAGATAAGTGTCAGTAGAAACATGAACTCAGGACTACCCATGGCACATATTGCCCAAGAGAACATGAAGTGGATTTGGGGTATTGATGTAAGAGAAGAGTTTCCACACCAATGTTCTGCATTTTTATAGAGACAGTGAGGCCTCATTGGTTCCATGACCAGCGCAATAAAAGACAGCTGTGTATAACTGTAGAGATAAGGCTCCAAAAAGTCTACTGCAGAAAGCTTTAACTGATGTTTAACCCTGTTATATTTTAAAAGTCCTTCCTGTAAGTCTAAGATTTTGATCCCTTTTATAGACTGAAACTGAATTAAAAATCCTTTGCAAAATTCTCCTACAAAGATTTTCCCTTGAAATATAAAGAAGAGGTGCTCGAATGTCTTTAGAGTAACTGGCATTTGCATGTGGCTGTATAAGATTTTGATCCATTGCAGGATCATCCCAAACTCATGCTAAATAAATATTTATTTTCTCTTAAATATACTGTATGTAACAGACTGCAAACCTAACAATTATGACAACATGCAAAGGTACCTCCACACCAGAATTCAGTTAAAAACCAAATTTAGCTATTCAAATTACAGCTTATACCTTCAATCTCCCACTTAATTAGACATTAACAGAAAGGATGAGATGCAATGCTCACATCAATATACCATCAAGGACACTTCAAGGTAAGACAACTACATATTACTAAAGTATAAGTTATGTTCTTCATAAACTCCCTCATTCCTTACAAATAAATTTAGCACTCATGACAAATTTCACAATAACAAGATAAAACTGTTATTTAACACTGGAATACTTAGAATATGTAATGTTTTTTATTGGTTTACAAAGCTTATTATTTCTTTTGACTGTTGAACAGAATGATCCTCTTTAGATGCTTATCTAGCTATTCTGGAAACAGCAGAGCCTCCAATTCTTGATGCAGGAAATGCATGTGCACAGAAAGAGTAGTGTGCGTTAGGTGTGACAACAAGAAAAAACCAAAAAAACAAAACAAAACAGACGTTGTTTCTCTCCTAGATAGCTGTTTTTCAGCATTTCCAAAGGATTTTCCTCAGGTAAAGCAGCTTGTATCAATTTTGAAGTTGTCTTTGCAATGACATGTTGCAGCGTTCATGCTGGAAACCTCCTCATGAGGTAATGTTTCACTTATGGCTTTTATATGCTAGGTGTTAACAAAAATGCTATAGTCCAAGTTTAATCCTGACTGACACTGTACTTTATGGGCTGCTAGAGACAGAAGAGATGTTCTCTAAGTATAATCTGACTTTTATATCTTTAATTAGAAGTTCAGACAGATAATATGAAACACTGTACTCCTGTCCTGTAGGCAGGGTCACAGAACAGAATCTGAAATCAAAGCACACATTCTGTAACAGGAGATACATTACTCTCTTCCTAATTTAACTCAAATCTAAGAAACAACTAGCAATTATGTTTTTTAATATAGAAAAAAAAACCCTTTTAAATAGTAACAAAAGCTTATGGGACTAAGGGCAAAAGTAAGAGCAGAAGTGTGTATGGGGAACAGAGAAGCTTTATGCCTCTGGAAGTGACTTCTCAGAGGAGGAAATGCCCTAATCTTCTCTGCATTTGTCTCTCCAAACTGAACAGAATCAACTTACTCAGCATTTACACACACTATGAAAATTTTTAAGTGTAATTCAAATTCTAACGAAGTACCTGTAGCTAGAAATTTTATCCTATGCGGTTTAACTTCAATAAAGCAGCAAATTATTATTTCAGTAGGAAAGGCTTTAATTAGCCCAAGCCCAAAACACTCTAAAGGCTTAGTAGTGAAAGTATAACAACACTGTTTATAATCCTTCCTCTGGTGTTTAAAAGCTTGCCATGAATCCAGTTTACTATGGAATAACATGATTACAACAAAACACAACATCATTTTCTGTCTGCTTCAAACATTGTGTTAGGAAAGTCACTAGTAAGAAAGATGACATAAGAGAGGAAAAGCGTTGTGTTTTAGTTTGTGAAGAAAACTGGACTCTGCAAAGCAGATTGTTTTTAGTTTAAAAGCAACACCGGAGGAAGTCTGGTTCCTCTGCATCAGAGCTCTTGGAGCTCTTGCCAACTTCAAATGGAGAAACAATTCTGATTTTAGCATGAGTGCTTAGGGCTGACTCAAGTCAGGAAGTTCTGAAATCTTCCAAAACAATCCAGTATGAGTAAGTAACAACCATTTCTGGAATTTCTCCATCATCCAGGCAGATCTAAACATTTTGGAAACCACAGTAAGCATTCAGGATTTGCAACTGGAAAAGTAGTTTTATACAGTTAAAAAAAAAAAAAAAAAAAAAAATTGACCCGAGTAAATATGTGGGTATTCAGTTAGTCAGTTTTTGAAGGGAACTTAGTTGGTATTTAGTCATCCTGAATTTGTTCCAGTACATGACAGAACCAGGCTGGGATTTCAAAAAGATATGACACAAAAACTAAGAAATACCATATAGCAAGGAAGATGCAGCACAATAAACAAATGAGTGCATACTGTCAGGCTCTCAAGTTTTGATTTTCCAGATTTATACCTAACACACACAAGTATGAGAAAACATTTCCACAGCTGAGAAAACTGTGATCAAATAGCAGTAAGAGTTAGAAGAATCTGGCAGCTAATTAAAACTTAGTTGGGGTTCGAAAGGTTGAAGGAAAAGAAACTGAAGGGAATTATTCTGTTTTTACACCATGTCAATGTTTTTATAAAAACAAACTCCAGAAATATTAATGCAGGTTACTCATGGTAGGAAAAAGTTCATGAGGTCTCATTTTTCTTTCTTTCTCACAGGCGTATTTTCTTCTTGTACATTTTGGTATATCACAAAGGGCAGTGAAAATCCAGAGAAAGCCTAGCCAAACCTAGCCAATTTTCAGAAGTAATTTTCTGTGCTCTGGCAAAGCCTGAGAGCTCTCACTATGCATACAGTGCAAATACTGGTACCTATGCCCCAACAAACAGGGAGAAGGGAAATCAGATGTATTGGATCCTGATACAAGTTTAAATATATACATTCTACTTGAAATAGCAAAATCACAGGTAGTATTAGGAAACTATGTTTCTCTTACTGCTGCTTAAAAAATACTGCTGCTTAAGACAGTATTTTACTCAGCTAATAGAAAAAGGGAAGATTTATTTTGGTTTTCAAAAAAAATATTATTGTTGTCCTTTATGTTCATTGCTTCTGCTTACTACCTCAGAACATATATGCACTTGAAAGTCAGTAAGAAAAAAAAAATCAATTTGCAAGTGTCAAACATCTATTTCTGCTTTACTGTAGTGGAAGACAGCCCAGCCACACTGACCCAGTATTTCTCAATTATCTAAGAGCTGGGTGTGAAACTCTCTCCTAATTTGTAACATGAGTGCAAGCAACTATTTGGTGAAAGGGTAAGAGCTGTTTCAATGCCCCAAAGGCAGAAAATGTTAAAGGCCAAGGCAAGATTCCACAACTGAAAAATGTCCATTGAGACTACACTGAATTGGGAAAGTACTTCCTCTGATCCACCTGTTCCTTTGTCTCAAATTCTATACAGTACCTGTCCTGTGAGTACCTAAGACTGAGAGTCTTAGTGAGAGTCACTGCAGCCCTGTCTCTCCCACAGGCCGTACCCAGCCTGCACTGTGCTCTGGTCACAGCCTGGACTGCACAGCCTGTCAAGTCACAGAACTGCAGAATCATAGAATGCTAAGGGGTTGAAATGGACCTCAAAGCTCATTTTGTTCCATCTCCCTGCCCTGAGCAGGGACACCTTCTGCCTGAACACATTGCTCAGGGCCCTATCCAGCCTCACCTTGAATAACTCTAGGAATGGGGCATCCACAGCCTCCCTGTTCCAGTGCCTCATCACCCTCACTATAAAGCATTTCTTCCTATTACCTAACCTTAATTTTCCCTCTTTCAGTTTGCACTCTTTCCCCCTTATCCTGTCACTATAGTTCCTCACAAAGAGGCCCTGTCTGGCTCCTCTGAAGGCACCTTCAGGTACTGGAAGGGGCTGTGAGGTCCCCACAAAGTCTTCTCCCAGGTGAACAGCCCAAATTCTCTTGGCCTGTCTCCATAAGGGTACTCCAGTCCTCTTAGCAACTCCATGGCCTCCTCTAGACTTGCTCCAACATCTCCATATCCTTCTTATGTTGGACACCCCAGAACTGTGTGTGAAAGTCCAGGCTGGGACTCACAACAGCAGGGCAGAAAATCACCAAGGTCAATCTGAGTTACACACTGCACTGTGAATGCACTCATTATGACTGATGACAAACACAGCTGTTTCAGTATCTTTTTTTGTGGTAAGGGAAGTGAGAGGCATCTTTCTGCTTCACTGGCATTTTAGTTAATGAGTAGGCTAAAAACTAGTAGCTTGGACACAGGGTATTCCAGAAGAAGATGGAAAAGGAGAAAATGTGCAACTGAAATATACTGTTATTACTAACATCTACCAAATATACTTGGACAAAAGGGAAAAAAAATAAAAAGAAAATACATATTCTATACTAATAAGGAAGTATTTCAGTCTGATACCCCAACATACACCCTTATCTCATCAGGCATTATGGTAAATGTTA